GGATTTCTTTCATTCTTGTCCGAGTGCGCTTCTTCCACACCTTGACACTTCACAAGGATTTGAGGATTTTGTTCACAATTTGGTTGACAGACACTTGTTAGTATAATATACTGACATTCAGATTGTAATCTTTTCAGATGTCGGGTGGGAAAGAGAAGAAAAAGGAAGAAAGGAAACTTTGAGGAAGTTATTTTGGCTGGTTGAAATTAGTGATACCAATGTGGATCAGTCCATAAATAGAGTAATGAAAAGTAAACAATCAGAATTCTAGAAGTGTAGTTCAGATGTCAGAAATGTCAAAAACAAACTTCCCACAACGTTCGGACTGTTGGTATTTGTGATTTTGATTTATGTCATAAGGAAGATATGACAGCAGCACATCTGAAAATGCAATACAGACATTAAGTTCTTCAAAGTAAGAATGTTCAGATCCAAGCATCTGGCTTACTTCATAGTGTTGATGAACAAATACTATTTAAATTACTAACTCATATGTAAAATCAAAACTAATAGCTAAGTTTCCCCTAATAACTAAGTTTTCCCTAAATTTATGTTCCTAGTATCTGAACAATATTTGATCTATGTGTCCAAATTTAATTTTAATAGTTGGGTGACACTAATATTTGGATAATTAATAATATTAAAAACTTTAAGTAATTGTTATCCCTTATCCCTGTAATATTCCTATAGATGCTCACTTTACAGACTGACCAAATTTACACTAACTCGAACAAACTTTTCTTACCTAAGTTTTATGGGATTTAGGAATATTTAACTGTTCAACTACTTAGTCATTCACCTACATAAAAGTAGATTTGTTGTTGAAAAACACAGGAAAAAGAGAAATGATAGTAACATTTTCACTTGAAAATCCAATGTTAGTTCTTCTTTATAGACTGCTGAAATTGGACAATAGATAAACAAATTGGAAGACATGTTGCCTTCAACAAAGATCTGACAGATATTTTATGTCCCTGTTGTAGGGACTCAATATTTAACGAAGTTATGTTAAAGTAGATGTTGCATATTTCTGCCAAAATGGGAAATAAAATTTATCCTGAGAGGTTTTTTCAGCCTATATGTAAAGCACGTTTGCCCGATATTAAGAAAGCAATACCATTCAAAGTGTTTTCTTCAAACGAGAAAGAATTCAGGCTCTTTATCTCCTGACTACACAAGCAGACAAGATGATTTGGCTACAAGTTACCATAAATGAATACCCTGTAAGCATCACATCCTGTTGACTGTGATTTTTCAGAGCAAATGTAAGTAACTGTTCAGCGTATCATGGTCATTTCTGAAGCTTTACATGAATATGCTGAACTTCGCAGCACATTAACTTCTTACAGGGATAATTACAGCCTTGAGAAGTATGCAATTTGTATAGCATTCACTGACCTCGAAGTTGACCTTGTTCAGGGGCAAATTCATAGGTTGTCATAAATCCCATTAGACATGCCTAGTTTGAGGCAAAACCTTTCCAGACTATATCTGCTGTAGACAATATGACATTTGAAATCATTCTATTAAAGTATTTCTAAGTGCTAATACATTCTCCAGATATGATCAAACTAGCTCACATTGCTAAGCAAGACTTCCTCCTTAAAAGATTAGTGAAAAAAATTTTAAAGACCCTGTATAATTTTAAAAGCTAAACCAGAGATTCACATTTTAAGATGGCCAACTAACTGTATGTTCACAAGCATTTGAGACAAATGTACACATGGTCACAATTACCAGGCATCAAACTAGACTCCGACTACCTGAAATAGCTTCAACTAACTGAAATGCGTAACTGAAGGCTAATATTTTATCCATTAGAGAGCAAAAATAGAGCAACAAGACAACAGAATAGCTTAAATTGGGCCTAAAACTACTCTAAAATCACAGCTGTAATGCTAAGTATTGCTTTTAGATGTTTAGATCCAAAGTGTAACTTGAAAGATTTTTGCAACAAAAATATATAATCAGTAGTAACACAGAGAACACGTTTTCAGAGATCTTAATTTTTTCCCGAATTAGAGTTATTCTGGGGAAGTCACTGACAGGGAATTAAATATGTGTGTGAAGTCCAGATGGAAAGGAGACACACAAAAATCAGCATTTTTTAAAAACCGTAAGGCAAATAAAACGGAAGTTTGTAAAGACTGTATTGAACTATTTAGTCTATGCTTTTAAAAGACAAATCACTGATCACCTCTCAGCATATTGGGACTTGCTTGTAGCTGGCAGTGACAGGTAAGCAGCTAAAATCCAGCTGACGCCAGCTGATGCTGCTATGCCAGCTGGCAGGGTTTGCCAGCTGTCTGCCACTCCTCCAGACTATGAATATATGACTGTAATGGATGCAGCATCTTCTGGCTTAATGACAATTCATTCAGTTCACTGATCCATAACATTATTTGCTCTATGTGGTGTTCCCTGACTATTTTTAAATGTTATTAAGTTAGTTGATTTGCTGTATGCAAGTGTCCCTTCTACTCCTTTCAAATATTTATCATCTAATTTAAAAGTGGAGACATACTGAACCTTGAATACATTCATCAATTATTCTGTCATTCCCATTAAAAGGTATTTCTCTAATGTAGCCAGAAATGTATTTCATTAAATATTACACAACAGACTTCACTGTTTTGTCTAACTGTAATGTCTACGTTCTGTCCAGGACACTTACTGGTGCTGAAATCTGAACAGATTCAGTTTACTTTAGTGATTAAAAGCTAAATCCTTCCTCCTGCTGGTGCATGGATTCTTTCCATAATATTTAAATTTATTGAGAGAAACCATAAGCTAAAAAGCTGTCCTACATATCACGGTGTTTCCCTCCATTCCCACTCATTAATTTTTATGCTGAAGTCAACAGCCTGGACCTGTAAGAAGTCTGCTGAAACCCTCTTCAAACAGAGGAAGAGTATCCTGCACAAGAAGTAACTAAGTACGCCCCTCAAGACATTCGACATAAACACCCTAAGAGTTACCAATGAAATCTCAGAAGCTAAGACTAGACATTATCTCTTCTATTCCTACTCAAAGGAGAGCCAAATTTAACTGTGTTTTTTTAATTATTATTTAACATGGATGAATCATAGCTTTATATTTTTTAAATATTTTTTTAAAATATTTTAGGAGACACGTAATTCTATTTGCAATCCTATTGGATGAAAACCCCCCGCTATTTTTAGCCTTTTGCTAAAGGACAAGCAAATAGCAATTTCTCAGGATAAAATAAGAGGTAAGAAATGAGCTAGTAAGGAAGTTATTTCAGTATCTTTAATCCTATCAAAACTGTAAAAACAAAACACAGCCACAAAGTAGATATTTACCCTTTATCAATACTTTCCATATCCTACATGACTTCACAGCTTTGTGGTAAACAAGGAAATGCCATATTCATTCTTCTCAGTACGGCACAAAAAATAAAAAGAAAGTGAGAGTGCCTCAGAAGAGCACGCACTAGAGTTTTACTACTTCTACTCAAGTTTGAACACTGTTTATTATCTTATGCAGACAGCTGAAGGCAGTCATTGTGTTTCAATCCTGCAAAGCTTCCAACGTTTTCTGCAATATCTGCCCTTCTTGCGGAAACACAAAATTCATTAATTGTAATTCCTCATTTAGTCAGATGGACAAAAAACTTGCTGACAGACATATCCCTTTCTGTTAAAAAAATGCAATTCACTCAAAATATTGACACTCTTCTTAAATGAGAACACATGTTAATAATTATATGAAGTCTGTTAGAGATAATAGACAACAGAAAAGCCATTATCTTTAATGTCCTCCTGTGTCTTTGAAATGATAATCATTGCACTAAAGGGCCAAAAATGATTGATGGACTTTCATTTGGAGCATACACCTGACACAAATTACTTGACATTTACTCTTTTTTTTTTTTTGTAGGATGAAGACAGAGTGGCATCACAAACATCCAACTATCCTGCTTCTTGAAAAAGTATAGAAGCATACTTGAGTTTTTGAGGATACTTGAGTTTTTGAGGATAAGTTCCTAATAAGTGCTCAAATATACTGGAAAAACTAATGCAACTTCAAAATATGTGTAAGTCCAGTGATGAAGCTACAGAACGCATATGGAATAAATCACAGCAAAAGAATGTTCTTTCCTAAATTACCTCTTTTTCAGGCTTACAGGGTATCACAGCTTAATAATGAATCATGTTTTGTATTTCATTCCAAAATATATGTCCTAGTTTTGCCTTTCTTCTATTTGGTATTACAAGAACATATTTCGGTTCTGCAAACAGGAAAGGGAGAACCTATGGCTTGAAAATAATTACATGTGCCTATCAGCTTGCATGGATCTGTACAGACCAGAAATGTTAATGGTTTAGAATGAATGAAAGCACAATTGTTTGCATGTAAAATTTTGGTTCTTCATCTGACACAGAAACATCTATGGAAGACTTTCAGAGTCCTTCAAGTTTTATTTTTATCTATTGAAAGCTGAGTTCTTTAGAAAACAAGCGATATTTGGTTTGGTTTGTTTCT